ATCTTTTGATTTTCTCGAATTGAAAAACCTCTCAAATTTGAAATTGTATATTCAAATTGCTGATAAATATGCGGACATTTAAAAGTTAATAATCTTTTCAAATAATAGGACAATGAATTAAATGCATACATATGCGAATATAAACCTAAATATATAAATAGCATGACATGAGAGCAACTATCAACTTGTTTAATGTTATTGTTTTAAAATTTTCTGGTTGAATAAATTTGAAAAGTTAACTAACTTAATTTATTCCAAAGCGTCGATGTTTCGAATGATTTGAATTTAAATTAGGAAATATGAGAAGAAAACTTGCCAGAAAATTAATCTTCCCTTCGTTTCGTTGAGTTCAATGGGTTGGCCCGCAATAAACTGCAGAACGCCTGATATTCACTTTCATGTGCTACTAGTTTTAGCAAACGTGTAATGGACCTTTAACCTTCTTTAGTTTACAAAACCAACTAAATAAAATTCAGAGCAAACGTACTATTAAACGAATTACAGCACAACCCGTACAATTTCACTTTTTTAATTCAATTTTCGTGGCGCTGTTCACGTGCCTCGATTAATTATTTACACATATCATAACTACACTTGAAAAATTTTTCAAACCAACGCTATTTAATTCATGTTTCACCATTGGTAGCACTACCACTACTTCTAATACTACTTTTACTATCACTACTACTACTTCTAGTACTACTATCGCTGCCACTGCTACTACTTCTACTACCACCACTACTACTACTATTAGCAGTGGTCTAAAGAGTTGAATGACGGTAAAAATAATAATTACTCTTTTGAGGACTCCAGCTTCGTACTATGAAGACACGAATTCATATAGATTAATGTTTTAAACTTCTTATCCGAAAGATTTTTGAATTCAAAATACCAAAAAAAATGGAAAAAAACATAAGGTAAGATGACATAGCGAGAAATATTTTTTTTAGCAAAATCAAACTTTAATTATGAATTAATCAAACTATATAAACATATACTATCTGTATCGCACTAATACATACACGTATATATATATATATATATATATATATATATATATATAAATGATAATTTTGATGAGTTATGAATGAACGAATGAATGAATGAATGAGTGAATATGAATGAATAAATGAAAGAACGAATTACTTAGTAAACGAACTGAATAATGTTTTATTTACGAATGTTGTTGATTGTTAAATATTCCATCGTTTCCATTCAAAAGCACCTGACGATGGTATGAAATAATTTAATTTATTTATTCTACGAACAAATCTTTAACTATAGCTCATGTACCTGTTAGCATTTAACATCATCGTCATCGTCATCCATGTACTCAGAACCATCTTCTTCTTTGTCATCATCTTCATGGTTTTATGTTAACATTAATTTAGAACACTTGTTTGACTTGAAATTGTCTTAATGTAAATTATTACATAGCATAACTTAATACAACATTGAACCGGATGGATGAATGTTTGTGAGCGTTTGTTCTTGTGTGTGTGTGTGTGTGTGTATGTGTGTGTGGTGTGTGTGTGTGTTGTGTACTTTGATGCGCAACAAACAAATAAATGCATGGTATGAGAATCTATGCGACACATGCAACTATAATTAGATAAGTGTATATATATATATATATATATATATATATATATATATTATATATATATATATATATTATATATATATATATTTATGTTGGTATACATATTTTTATGTGTGTACCTTTGTTTGCTTGTGTGTGTGTGTCATATATACAAAATTATAGATATGTGTTTCCATTGTTTTTTGTAGCGAGTTATTTCGAAATTAACTCTCTGAGGGATGAACAAGCTAATTTTGTTATGTGCCATTTTTGGCATCGTCTTTATGGGTGAGGCTGTCTGCAAACGTGAGAATCATATATAGAATTAATTAATTAATTAATTGTTAAATTAATTAATTATCTGTTTTAAATTGTAATATAAATATTAATTACGAAGTATTACTTATTTTGTCGTATATTTATCATTATAAATTGTGTTTTTTCAAAACCTGACTTAAGACTAACTAAACCGACAATGGCAACGATTAATTTCCAGAGTTTTTCAATTCATTTCAAAAATAAATGAAATATAATATTTTTTCAATCAATAAGCTTAATTTAACAGTTTCAAACTCAATCGCAAGTTATTATTCAATAATATACCGTCTTTTGCTAGTTTTTAAACAAACAATTCATCAATAAACCATATTTAATTTTTCCAAATTTCAAAAGTTCTCGAATGTACTGAAGATCACGAGAGGAACCCGCTGGCAAAGTGCTGGTGCGGAGTAAGTGGGGCGTGCAAAGATGTTAAACTGTTAAATTTTTTTTACTATTACTCTTTAAAAATCGTACTTTCTTCAGTTTTCTCGTCACTTTCATCATCTGAAATGTCATCAAGATAGTAATGGCACATAACCATTGCATAAACCTTTATACCATATAACAAAATATTTTTGCTTGTTTAAAAAATATTTAGTTTTTTAAGGCTAATTTTCAATTGTTTGATCTAAAAGAGTGTCTTGTGCAGTGACGGCAATTACTGTGCCATACCTAGCCAGGTAAGTGAAGAACCAAGCTGCAGGCCAAGTAAGTAAGAAGGCAGTTCCATCCCAATTTCATCCAAATTGTAATTATATTAACATTACATCCGCAGTCCATACCATTTTTTGCATTCGTTGAATGGATTTAGTAGAGGAGAAAAAAAAAACTAGATGAAGAATTTTTTTTACTAAAACATTTCAGGATCTGAATATGTAGAGAGGAATTTGCCTGGCGGAACAAGGAGACCGCGAACAACCCCCCGAGGAATTTGTGATGATACTGTGCAGAGGCCTATATCACCTGATGTCTATGGGTGTGATTCATGAATCAAAAAAGAATTTTCTTTTTTATCAGACTGTGTCTGAAGTGAAAAAATTTATTGATTTGATATTTTCTATAGTGACAAATTGGGTTTTTGTGTAATTTTATGGTATTTAAATGAAGATTTTTCTGCCTAATAGACTGCTAATTTCAATTTTTGTGTTGTTAATAGTTTGAGAGAATATTTTACAGTCGTACCTACAAGATAACATTTAGTTTTAAAACATTCCTCTTAATTAAAATTTTCCTGGTTTCCATTTATGCTTAACTTGTTTTCAAGGCTGTCACTAAGTTTTCTTTATTTAGTAAACTGTATAACCATTTAGTAAACTGTATAACCATCTACTGACACAGAAGTGTACACATTAGCTCGATTGTAACCGCCGTTTCTGTTTGCGTATGTTGGCGGCTACCAAAAATTCGCGAATCTTACCTTCGTTCAAATCCAAACGTGTTGCCTGCTTGCCGAAAGAAAACTACCTTTGACGCCAAACAAAACACTTGAAAAGTTGAGTGAAAAAATATTTGAAAATGGCCACCCTATTGATCTGTATGATAAAAGATGTGCAGGTGAACCGAATACAGGCGAGTCTACCTGAACCGACAGCTATCAATACAAATCCTTTCTTAGATAAGGTAAGGCACATAGTTCAAATACTTGTTCAAAAAATATGATGTTTATTTAATAATTAGTTCATTCATTCAATCAATCATTCAATCATTCGTACGTTCGTTCGTTCGTTCATTCATTCATTCATTCAGTCGTTCTGTCTTTCTATTATCATTTATTCGTGTATTAATTCAACTAATTTAATCATTTTCAATTGACTGTGACGAACCTATGGGTAGGTTTTTGGTTTATAAAATTTAATTAACAAATTAATTATTCAATCAATTGAGTAAATTTAATTAATTAATTAATTAATTAATTAACTAATATATAACTATTTACGAATGTTGTTGATTGTTCAATATTTCATCAACTCCATTCAAAAAGCCCATGACATGGCAATTAAATAATTTATTCTGAATACTATAAACAAATCGTTAACCCTATTTCATGTACCTGTTATCATTTAACATCATCATCATACTAATCATCGTCATCGTCATCATCATCCGTCCTACTCATAACCATCTTCTTCTTTGTCATGGTTTTCGTCATCTTCGTCGTTATAAAGTTTACTCATTTTATGTTAACACTGATGTAAGACTCTTTTTATGTCAATTTTTAGATTCAAGTGACGACTAGATATTGACACGCCATCAAATACATAAATATATACATAAATAAATTTCATTAGATATTTTTGCCCATTTTGCGTTGATTAGTTTTTTGCCAATAGATTCAACATTTCGTATTTGGGTTAAATTAAACCATATTTATTAAACAGTTGTGTCTATAAATATAAATGAATATATATGTGTGTATGTTTGTGAATGTATGTGTGTGTGCGTGTGCGTGTCTGTGTGTCTGTCACAAAGTTCTCTGCGTGTGTGCGTGTGTCTGTATATTGTCTGTCACAAAGTTCTCTTCATACACGAAACTGTACAACTACCTACTGACACAACGGTGTACGTACATTTTCTTCAATTACAACCGAAGTTGTATGTGTATGTGTATATTTGTATGTGTGTGTATGTGTCGGGGACGGATCAGAATTAGTGAATCTCACCTTTTAATCAAATTCAAAACTGCTGTCCGTTTGCCAAAAAAAGCTGGAGATGTCGCGATGAGCATTTTGAAAGTGTTTAATGTCCGAATCGGGGGTGGTTCACTTCGGTCGAATATTCGGTTAAAATGTTTTAATCTCTCTCTGCTCGTAAGAATATCTCAAGAATGAATTGATAGTATTTTATGAGTGACAACACGACACCGCAGAATAAAGTACTTTTATTATTTAAAGCTAGAACAAAAAGTGAATAAAAAAAATTGGAAAGATAGCATAAACCAGAATTCTAAAAAAAAGGATAATAAGGATTTAAAACTTTGAAATTAAAGTATTTTCAATTCAAATTTTTAGCTAAGCTTTATTCAAAATATGTCCTAATTTTCAAAATGAAAAACGGAACATAGCGGTTGCGGCAACCACAACAGCCACAAAAGTAGCAGCGGTAGTAACAGAACTAGCTTCATTACATAATTCCTTGGAGCATATAACCTGTGAGTTTTGCATGCCGTTTATCGTTTGAGAGACTGATGAGTCGCTGTAGAGTGTTGCCAAGCATGTTCTGTTTACGACTGCGAGAGGAGAAAATGATGTTGAATACTCGCTCGTTTAAGTTTAACGTCTAATTTTTGTGTGGCGAATTTGGTTCAGTTGAAATTAGATCTGCATAGGTTTACAAATGACTAAAAATCTCAGCTAAAATTGAAAGTAAGCTTCCATCAGAAAGACAGCAAAAATTATTTGTTTCTATAATAGTTATAATTTAAAACGTTTTTATTTTTGTAGTCGTATCATCGGTGGTATTAGCTGCAGCAGCAGCAGCAGTGGCAGCAGCAGCAGCAAGAATAGACATAAAAAAGTAATGTGAGGTAATAAGAACATCAACAAACCATTATTCTGGACAACTTCCTTGTAACAACTGAGGCCGAGGCATGTCGTCATGTTATTCAGCGGGACTTTGCAGCCATCATTACTGCATGCATAGCAGGTGACTTTACCATCAGCTACACCAGAACCTTACAAATATTTTTCATTCATTCATTCATTCATTCATTCATTCATTCATTCATTCATCATTCATTCATTCATTCATTCATTCATTCATTCATTCATTTATCCATCCATCCATCCGTACATCAATTCATACAAAATTTAAACAGACAAACCAGGAGCTGGGGCTAACTCCATTGGACCGTTACACAAGTCAGAGTTGTTGCACGTCTTCGACCAATAGCTTCCACTTTTTGACGATAGCGACATTGATGAACCCAGCCACTCACCTACGCACAATCTGACGGCTGTCATCACGGTGTTTGCTGGTACTGGTATCTGTGATGAGCCTATTGGTTGTGTATTTATGTGCGTGTGTGTGTGCGTGTGTTTTGTGTGCGTGCGTGTGTGTATGTAAGTACGTATGTATGCAATTTTTGGAAGTATTTCTTAATTTTAAGGTTTTTTTTATAAATTTAAAGAAGAGACAAAACAAATAATATTAAAAAAATTTATAAGAAGAATAAAAACGAGCATATGCAATGATAATAATAATAATTATAATAATAATAACAATAACAATTGAATAATATAAAGAAAAATTTAAAAAATCACCTGTCCAACTTTCATTTTTCCAGCAAAATGTCCCGGTGCACGTAGCAACCTTAGCCGCATTGAAGGGCACACCACAGTCAGGATTTGTCGCTGAATCGCACAAGTAACATTTCACGGCTTGCACTCCGTGCCCCAAGGAAAGGAAGAAAAGGGGTAAAACTAAGGATAGGAAAGTGAGCTTTGCCATCTTGGATTTTTCTACGGAAAAAATGAATTATCTTTTGGTTTGTTGTGTGGTTATTTTTGTTTTATGTCTTCGGATGAATTCTTCTCGTATACGCCTGTTTTTATAAGGGTGATAGTTTAGAATATATTCGCATGAATACTATCTGCAAGCTATTAAAGTTTAATTCTGCATAAAAATCATTTTTTAATTGTTTTTCATTTTGATCTCTTAATATGTAAAAAAATTGAAAGTTTTGAAAAACTAAGAAAACAAACTTATTTATTTTAATAACATTAAATAGTAGTAGTAGAAGTAGTAATCGTAATGGTATCAGCAGAAGTAGTAGCAGCAACATCAGCAGTAATAGTAGTAGTGGTAGTAGTTGTAGTAGTAGTAGTAGTGGTAGTAATTGCTACAACTACAGCAGTAGCAGACGTGGCAACAGTAGAAAAATTTTACTAACTTCTAATTATTTTTCAGTATCTCAGTGTGATCTTGCCGATTCTGAGCAATTGAAAAAATTCCACGGATTTTTATACAGACAAAGAGAGTGTATACATAACTATAGACAATAATAATAACTAGAAATATACATATAGTATAGCGATAGTAATAGTTGTGGCGGAAGCTGTAGTAACAGCCATATGCAGTAGCTGCAGTGGCAGTAGCAGCAGCTGCAGTAGTAGTAGCAGCAAAAGTAGGTACACACTCGTGAAGAATCGTGAAGAAATAAAAATAGCGTTAATTCCCTGCGCGATTTTCCCTCTCATGTTAACTCAACCGAGAAAATACTTCAAAACAACAATAAAATTTATTGCTATTATTATTATTATTATTATTATTATTAGTAGTAGTAGTAGTAGTAGTAGTAGTAGTAGTAGTAGTAGTAGTAGTAGTAGTAGTAGTAGTAGTAGTAGTAGTAGCAGCAGTAGTAATATTAGCAGTTGTAGTAATAGAATTGATATTGTTATTTTATTAGTAGCAATACTACTACTACTAAAAATAACACTACAGTTATTGGTAGTAAAATTGTAATAGTAGTAAAAGTAGCAGTAGTAGTAGAAGCAGCAGCAGTAGCAGCAGCAGCAGTAGTAATAGTAGTAGTAATAGTTGTAGTAGTTGTATTTATTTAAGTCAAAACCAAATTCAAGCCAGTGTCAACAATAACGGTATTGGGTCCTCTCATTCAAACAGTCATAAGAAAAGCCAAAATTAATTAATAAATAATAGGTACGTTAATTCCCAGCTAGCCTAGGAACATTCCAAACATTCATTCACACACACACACACACACACACACACACACACACACACACACACACACACACACACACACACACACACACACACACACACACACACACACACACACACACACACACACACACACACATACACTTCACACACACGCATACACACACACACCGTACAACACAAGCTATACATATACAGCGAATATTTTTGCCCCCTTGGCATTAATTAACTTTTTGAAAATACACTCAAAGATATAGAATTGTTGGGAATTGTCCACCAAAAGTTAATTAATGCTAAGTGGACAAAAAATATTCAATGAAATTTGCATAGCTGAAAACTTCGTCCCAGAATATCAATTCACATTTACACACCAATTCACACCATATCACATCTATATATATGTATAAATATTGTAACGACTTATATCATAAGCTAAATATATAAAATTCAGCTTGACTTGTTGGCAATTTAATAGTTAAAAAGCGTTTTTTCCTACATAAAATTTCCAAAATTTGCTTATAAACATACGCACACACGCGCACACACACACACACATGAATTGTGATTAGAAAAAAGAAATTATAAATATCGTTAGTTGGATGTGTCATTTCATTGGCCGCCGCCGTCGTCATCAACAAAGTCGTCATTGTCTATAATATTATCGGTTTCATCATCATTATCATTTTCATATTCTTCTTTGTCATCTTCTTCATCATCTTCTTCATCACCATCTTTATCATCGTCTTCATCTTTTTCGTCAACTTCAAAGTTAGAAATCTCCCGAAATCACGAGACAACATTGGCATCTTTTGCCAGTGCGTAGAACAACGACTGCTTATTGTCCAGTAGACTCTCTGGGGAATCGAACTCGGCAACTCTGCCTCCATCCATCACTAGCACTCTGTATATTTAAAAAAAAAAGCTCAATCGAAATCAATTTATCGAAATCGCAAAATCGAATCAACTAAATAGAAATAATTTAAACGAAATCACAAGAATTGAAATAATCGAATCTTAACCAGTCTAAATCAATAGAGATTAATCAGACTTAACCGAAATTAATCAAAACTAATCGAATAAAATCGGTATAAATAGAACTGATAATAATAATTCAAGCTCCTCCCACTGACCTATCACAATTGAGTATTGTATTTATCCTATGGGCTATGGTAAGAACCGTGCAGTCATCGAACTGGGTTCGTATCGTTTCTTGGATGATCTTGTCTGTCTCAAGGTCGACAGCTTGTTTTGTTTACATTTAGAAATTTGTTTGCAACGAAAATTTCAGTTTACTCCAGTTTATCCATACAACAGCATACACACAAATATCAAAACATACGCACATGCATCAGTGTATGTACAAACAAACAAACAAACAAACAAACAAACATGCAACCACATATATACAAACATACGAACAAACACATATACATACAAACAAAAACAAACAAGCATGCAACCGCATATATACAAACATGCAAACACATATACAAACAAACATTCAACCACACATATACAAACATACAAACAAACAAACACATATACAAACAAACATGCAACCACACATATACAAGCATACAAACAAACATATATACAAACAAACATATATACAAACAAACACGAAACCACACATATATACAAACATACAAAACCACATATATACATACATACAATTAATACCAAAATTAACAATATAACATCGAACAAATCACCAAAATAAGAGAAAAATATAGAGAAATTCAAATGCGGCCAAACCGTTCAAAATTCATCCAAAATTCAAAAAATACAAACAAATACATATACAAACAAGCAAACAAACACAACTCTGACAACATACCAGCAGTAGCTTCATCTAGCACTAAGACTCCAGTTTTGTGTAGTAGGGCCCTTCCTAAACATAGCAACTGTCGCTGACCGACACTGAGTAGGAGAGAGAGAGAGAGAGAGAGAATTTAGTAGAAAGAATGAATGAATAAGAGAGAGAATACAAAATTAAATAGTTAAATTATCAACAGACACATATAAAAGAGATAGATAGAAAGAGAGAGAGAGAGAGAGAAAGAGAGAGAGAGAGAAAAAATTTAGTAAAAAGAATGAGTCAATAAGAGAGAGAACACAAAATTAAATAGTTAAATTATCAACAGACACATATGAAAAAAATAGAAAGAGAGAGAGAAGAGAGAGAGAGAGAGTGAGAGACAGAAAAAGTTACAAAAAATGAAAAATAAATAAAGAGAAAGATAGAAGATATAGTAGTCAGAAACCAACTAATAATGAATAATAAATTGAAGGAAAGACCTCAGATTGCTACCCCCCTCTCCACACTCATTATCCAGTGTTCCGGACAGACTGGCCACAAATGTTTTTAGGTGGGCGTGGTCGAGAGCTGTCCATATCTGCTCGTCTGTGTGGTGATTGGTTGGATCCAGGTTGAATCGAAGACTGCCTGAAAATATCACTGGATCCTGTGGAAAAGACGGAAGAACCAATATAAAAAATGCGTTCTATATTTAAACAAACCTCCTGAAAAAAAACCCTAAACCACACCGAGACAAACCTGCGGTAAAATGGTGAGTTTTGACCTCAGCTGATGCAGACCAATAGAGGAAATATCAACCCCATCGATTCTGATACACCCCTCCGAAGGTTCGATCAATCGGAACAATGCCAAGGTCAAAGAACTTTTTCCAGCCCCGGTACGACCCACTATGCCTATCTGTGTGGAGCGTTTTAATTGGACGTTGCTACGCTAATTGTGATTTGGTTGGTCATAGTTTGTGGTTAGTGAGTTTTAATTGGTCGTCATTTTTTAATCATCAACATCGTCTACCGGCATCATTATCATAACAACCTTTTCTTTTGCCTTGATATCTAGGTTGATGTTTTTCAGAACTAACTCAAGTCCAGATCTGTACCTCAAGCCGTAGTCGTGAAAGATGATGTCGTGCTTACTAGGCCAGGTCAATGGAAGGTCAAATGAGCCCTTGCTCCAATCCGCCTTGGTTATAAGGGGCAAGTTAATGTAGGTCAATAAATAAATGTGGGTCATCAATATTTCATCACCAGCGTCATCTTCGTCATCGTCATCATCTTCATCATTATAATTACTATCACCATTACCATCATCATCACCATCATCATCACCATCATCATCATCACCTCAGTTGGGGTTTCTGAATATTCTTTCACTCGTTCGACGGAGACAATGGCACTTTCAAGTTCACTGCCCATCTCAATGAACCACGATAAGGTCACGGTCATCTGTGTGTGTGTGTGTGTGTGTGTGTGTGTGCGTGTTTGTGTGTACGTGTGTGTGGGTGAGAGAAGTAAGTAAGTTAGTTCATCCACTCGTTTCACCTTGCTTGTAGTTCATTCATTTGTTTATCTTCACGCTTATTCAATCATTTTCCATTCATCCGTTAATTCGTTCGTTCGATAAATATTCATTCACACGTTCATTCATTCATTCATTCGTTCGTTCATTCATTCATTCATTTATTCATTCATCCATCCATCCATCCACCCATCCATTCATCCATCCATCCATCAATCCATCAATCCATCAATCCATCCATCCATCCATCCATCCATCCATCCATCTATCCATCCATCCATCCATCCATCCATCCATCCATCCATTCATTCATTAACGCATCCATTCATCGTTCCTACTAAAATGATATGGTAAGAGAAAAAGTAGAACGTACACTGAGAGCCGAAGACACGGACAGCCCTACGAATGCAGATGAGAGTACATCCCTGTCCATGACTGCAAAGATGGCAGCCGACAGAACGACAACACCTCCCATGCAGTCGAGCAACAAGTTCAACCACCTGGTTGGTTGATTGATTGGTTGGTCGGTTGGTCAGTTGGTTGGTTGGTTTGTTGGTTGGTTGGTTGGATGATTGGTTGGTCAGTTGGTTGGTTGGTTGGTTGGTTGGTTGGATGATTGGTTGGTCAGTTGGTTGGTTGGTTGGTTGGTTGGTTGGTTGGTCAGTTGGTTGGTTGATTGAATGGTTTGTTGATTGGTTAGTTGAATGGTTAATTCTGACTAAAAATTGAATAATTTAAAAATGTTACTGAACAACCAAAGGTTGTATTAACCGTATTAACAATCAATTAATCAACCAAACTCCCAATCAACCAACCAACCAGCCAACCAAACACCCAACCAACCAATCAACCAACTGACCAATCAACCGACCAACCAACCAAACAACCCAATGAAGAGCTAACCAACCAACCAACCTATTAGAGGTAATATTAGCAAAATACATTTGTAGATTGTGATCGACCAGACGATAGCACTTCTCGATGAAATCTTCCTGCTTTTTGAAGGCTCTTATGATACTCGTGCCCGCTATGGATTCGCTGAGATGTACGTAGATCGGTGATAAAGTGGTTGATTCCAATCTCTTCAATTGCCGGTTCGTCGGTATGTAAAAGCGCTAGGGTGGTGTTAGTAGTTGAAGTGGTTAAAGGTTAAAGGTTACTCTCTCTTTTGCGTTAGCCTCAGAGGTTTCAACGACAAACACACACAGCATATATGAATACGCGTGCAAACCACGCATCATACACATTGCATATGATAGGCGGGGATCTCTTTGTATTCGAACCCAGTCATTGCAATAGCAAAACCAGGCGCCTTTAACCATTGAGCCATCACGCCGCCCAGGTTAAGTTGTAGTTGCAGTTGAGTTGTGGTTGTTGTTGTAGGTGCAGTTAAGTTGTAGTTGTTGTAGTAGTAGTTAAGTTGTGGTTGTTGTAGTAGTAGTAATAAAGTTGTAGTTGTTGTAGTAGTAGTTAAGTAGTGGCTGTTGTAGTAGTATTAAAGTTGTGGCTGTTGTAGTAGTAGTAAAGTTGTAGTTGTTGCAGTTGCAGTTAAGTTGTGGTAGTTGTGGTGGCTGAAGTGTTTGC